GCGGGGGGGCAGACGACGGGAAAAAAAGGAGAAAGCCACAGCCGGCCCCACCTGACTCCCGCCCCCCCCCCCTCCCGGTCCACACCGCCGGACCCGGGGCGCCCCGCAGAGGGCAGAGGTAGATACGCCCTTAAGAGGCCCCTCCAGAGAGGTGCGCGCGGCCGAGCGAGAGCGGAGGGGAAAGGCGGGACCACACCAAAATTTCCGGTCTACTTTTGCTGCGTGACGTGCTCGAAGGGAACCTGGGTTTACTTTTTACCGTTTAAGGTAAAATAAATAGTAACTATGAAATCCTTGCTTGTTGGCTCAGTTCTCATTCGTATTTTGGCGGGTTTCGGCAGCTCGCCCGCGCGCCGCGGGGTTGGTTCAGTAAGCCGGTGGTGCCTGCCGACCCCCGGATGCACGACGCGGAGCCCCACAGGGCAGACGCTAATGGGTCACGTGCGCCACACCTCAGCCGGGCTCACTCCTTAGCGCGCCGACGTGTCGTCACCGTCGGGCCGTGCGGCAGACAACCGACTCGCTCTCTCTCTCTCTCTCTCTCTCTCTCTCTCCCTCTCTCTCTCTCTCTCTCGCTGTCTCTGTGTCTCACGCTGCTCTCGAGGTAATGCCCCTCTCATTATTCGCGACTTGACCCGTTTGAATTTCCCGCGCGCGCGCGGCCGCCGCTCTTAAATAGCCGAATCGAGTTAGCGGCCAATTGGGAGGCCGCCCTAACCGAGTTACGATCGGTTACGGCGGCTGCGGCGGCATGCCCTCGGCCGGGCGCACGCCGCGCTGATCAGCATCTCGCACTTCTTTCCGAAGACGACAGAGTGCTAAATAAAAACTCATTTGAATAAAGTGATGGTTCTCTTTTTGTCCTCCTCCTCCTCCCCGCACGACGCCACCCCGCCCCGCTCCGACCAACCCCACCCCGCCCTCGGCACGAAGCGACGCGGCGGCGGCCGCAAGGAGGGGCGTGCTCCGAGACCAGGGCGACTCGTTGGGAACATCACGGCGGCGTGCCCGCCGCACCTCGGCGCCCCGCCTCGCCTCGCCTCGCCCCGCCCCGCCCCGCCCCGCCCGCGACCCCGGTAACGAGGAACAGAGGATGCAAAAGGAAAGACCTCGGCGTCTGGGGCGCGAAGAGCACCTCGCCGTCGACGAGGAAGCCGTCCGCAGCCCCGCGTCCGCGCGCTCGGTCGTCGATCGCCGCGAAAGCCTCACGCAGGCTAAAATCTTCTTCAAAGTGTATCATGTGCATTTCCG